CAGGGCTTCCTCCTGCCCTTAAACTCCAAGACAAAAGCTAGGCAGCCTGTTGAAATCTGATGAGCAGAGAGCACACCAGATAAAGCCTTAGGAGGCACATCTTAGACATAGCCTACTCCTCTCCCCTAGCCCTTCAGTTTCACCCGTGGGTAAGACTTCTGGCTATAAAAGCATCATCAGATACCCACTGGTGGAGAGGAAAGCAAGTCTCCTCTCCCTGAGGACAGCAAGCCTGTCTAAGGACCCCAAACAAGTGTCAGCACAGTGCTAGAGAGTCAGGAAGGGCTCCAGTAATTCTAAGCAGTCTTAGTGGACCTATTCATTCATTCATTCATTCATTCATTCATTCACTCACTCACTCACTTATATGTTCAATACCATGTACCAAGGCCACCAGACTGGTCCAGTGAAGAGAAAGAAGCCACTGAAACCCATGAAATCATAGGGTCAAAGCTCTGGGAAGCTGGTACTCTAACATGGCTTCCTAGGGTCATTCACTGGGAGGTTGGGGAACTCTAAGCTTATAAAGAATAAAGTGTCCTAAAAGTAACTGCTATTTGACCACCAATGACAAGGATCCTGGGGAGGAAAGAGTTCAGTGGAGGGGAGTTCTAGGAGAGGGCAGAGGCTCTTCTGTCAGGATGTGAGCAAGGGTCAGTAAGGCTAGGCTTCTCCACAACTGTGAGACCCTAAGCAGCCACACAGCACTGATTTCCAGACCCAGCAGTGCCCTCTACCACTCCCCCCCCCCCAGGGATAAGTTCCCTGACTTCTCCATGCCTGCACTCCTAGGCTGCAAAAGAGGATGATAACAATGACTGTGTATTTCCATATGTGCGGAGACTTGGAGGACATATTCTGGCACAAAGCAATCATTCTCTGTGTCCACTCCAAATACACCAGTGACAGTCCAAGATGTGGTCGAATGTTCTGAGTGGGAAAGCTGCTCCAATGTTACAGTTCTGAGTTTGGGAGAGGCCATTATGATTCTGAGGTTCCACAATTTAATCATCTCATTATTTTCTAACAACAACCCCGAGACTCCCAAGGGAAGTCAACAGCCCTCAATGTAACTTCATCTCCCAGGCACTGCCGGGACACCAGGGCTGCCACCACACCTGGCTTCACAGCTGTCCCTTACCTTTGGCTGAAGCCCCAGCCACACCTCACTAGAAGCTTCAGTTGAGTTTGAGCCTGCGTAGAACTTAAAACACATTCCCTGGGCAGACAGTGAGAAGTACAAATAAACACACGAATGAGAAGGTTTCAGATGCCCAGAGCCACAAAAGAAAATAAGAAGGGTTCATGTGACAGCAGGGAGCTATTTACAGCAAATGGTCAGCAAAGGCCCCTTTGAGGAGGTGATGTTCGATGGTGCCACCAGCTAGTCAAGGATTCAGGGGAAAACATTCCAGGCCAGGAAAGGTGTACAAAGATGCTGGCATGGCCTGAGGTGCTAAGATAAGGGGGTGAGCAGGGCAGGGCAGGGCAGGGCATGGCATGGCAGGGCAGGGCAGGGAAGCAGAGGTTGAAAAGTGGGCAAAGCTGGGACCATGAAAGCCCCCATAGGCCCAGAAAGAAGTTTACGCTACTTATTTATTTTTCTTCTAAATGTTCAGCAAACAGTGGAACTTTCAGCAGGAGAATAAAGAGATGGAATGTCCAGTCAGGGTCCCCAGATCACTTGGTGTTCTGAAACCACCACTATGGTTGACAAAGTCAATCCAGGGCCTAGAAAAGTAAGTGACCATCCTTACGCACATTTCCAGAGGGCCCAGCATAGGCCTGGCCAGGGGTGGGAGACATCTAAGATGCTGGTATTATCGCCCCTAGTGTCAGTGAGACCAAGCAGGGCACCCCACTCTACAGTGGTCTCCTTGAAGCACTTGTGACTTCACCTCAGGACCCAGGCCCACTGCTGAAAGGGTCACTGAAATTCTTCATCCTTGTGAAGACAATCCCTGGGGACTCACCTGAAGCCTTGGCTTTTCTTCCTTGCTAGCTTTAGAGAACCACAGGGTTACATTTGCATCTCATATCTGTCCAACCTGGGCTGGGGGAGCTAGATTGGATGGATGGATGGATGGATGGATGGTGGGACAGACAGGCAGACTACTGAAATAACTAACCAATAGATCAGTAAGTGGACAGCAGAAGAATAAATGAATGGCCTAATAACAAATGAATGAATATACAAACAGCAAGAATAATGAGTAACAACTGGAGAGAAATGCAAGGATGTGCCTGCCCAGGGAAGGGCAGGAGCTATGCTAGCTTCAGATCCAGGCCACAGCTCACTCACACACCAGCTTCCCACCTTCCATCAGCTGGCCTCCATTCCCTATGGTCACATGCAGACTGTCCTTTAGCCCCTGGGACCAACCTATGTCTCTATCTAGTGTGGTCATTACTTCCCAGCCCCTGAATCAGCTAGCACCACTCCATGTGGCCCAGTGGCTCACTATCTCTCTGAGCATGTCCCAGAAGAAAGGAGACAGGAGACCAGGGCTCCAGTCCTAGTTGAGGCCAGACTTTCAGCCAGTGGCTTCCTCTCTCTGAGTTCAGATGACCTCCCAGGGCCTTTCCATCTCTGACATTCTTTGGAGTGGGGGTAAGCCTCTGGATTTTTACACAGCCACTGGGGTCAGCAGAAGAATTTCAGACCGAAAACTAGAAGTTGGGAAAGGTCCTGCCCACAGCACCACCCACTTAGGAAAGGCCCACACAGGGAGTCTGCAGGCCTGAGTTATATAGCCCTCCCTCCTCCATCACTGCCCAACCTCTCTGTGCCTCAGTTTCTCAGATCTTAGAATGGGAATCAACTGTCCCTGCCTGAACATCTTACCTCAACTCAGTTCTGGGGAAAGCCTGACCTAGCAACAACCACATATGGCATTGTACAAACTGTAAAGTTCAGTTTCCTGAAAGATTATGATGACAGGGTCTGGAAAAAAATGAAGGGAGGTCACACTGTCCTATTCCTGTTCAGTTCTATTGGAAACAAAGCATCCTGGTGTCAGTTCCGAAAGCGAACAGTAGCGGGAACCCGGCAGTGGGTCCCAGCCACAGCTCTTCCTACTGGACAGTGTAACTGTGACTCTGGGCCTCAGTTTCTCCATGGAAAACCTTGTTGGTTCAGAACCCTGGGACCTAGGCAAGCCTTGTTCGCTCTGCAGCTTAACATTCCCAGACCTTGTACCCCCAATGCTGTCCTTAGGGAGAGAGTTCACACAGCCTAGTGGAGCCAAGACACAGATCTAAAGGGAGACTTGGGTGTTTTCCCTCCAGGAAATGGGAGGGGGGGTAGATAAGCACAAAGGCTCTGAGCATTGCACAGTATCCTCCTAGGACAGAGTCTCCCAAAAGGGGAAAAGATCAGGGTAGGATTTTATAGGCCTGGCCTCAGACCACTCTGCTGCCAGCAGGTTCTGACCTGTCCAGACGGACATTTCAGAAACTCAATTGATGTCCAGTCAGCAAACTTCAAAGTGGCAGGTGGGGTGACAGAAAGGGGTTAAGAACACAAGCAGAGGAGAGGCCCATGTTACAGGGGCCAGGCAACCAGCTACTCCTGTGTGTGTTGGGATCCACAGGAGCTGCAGGCTTGTACCTAGCCAAAAAGCCACCACCAAGGACATTCATTACCAGAAACCATCTCTAGAGGCCAAGAAGGCCACCCATACCTGGAGGGGCTTCTTCAACTGTAATCAACCAGACTTGCCCCAAGAGGGGGCTACCATAACTTCCTGTCCACCAAGAGGCTCTGGCCACCCATGAAGGGGCAAGCCTCCCTCCACCCCCAAGGCAGACAACTCTTAAAGGATCCATACTGCTGGAGGACAGGGTGGTAAGAGAGAGGGGTCATGTCCTCATGACAGGGATCTTAGCTCCAAACCCTGGGCCCACTCTAAGCCCCTAGTGCCAGCCACGTCCCCCAAATCTGGGGTTATACTATAGTTCCTTACAATACCACTCAATACCACTTTAATAGAGAGAGCTTCATCCAAAGGACTCCTCCCCAAAAACTCTAACCTCAACCCTACACACACACACACACACACACACACACACACACACACACACACACACACACACAATCCCCACCCCCACCCACGCAGCTCTGGGGAAACCGGCAGTTAACTTTTCCCAAAAAACCCTGCAAAGGCGGCTAGCTGGGGGAAGAAATAGAGAAATGGGCCCCCACATCCTTTCGCGGCATCTCACAGCCCTCGAGGGAAGAAAAAAAAAATCTCAAAAAAAAAAAAAAAAAAAAAACAAGAAAAAAAAAGAAAAGAAAACTTTCAGAGTTAACTTTAAATTCCCAGCCCCCTCCCCCCAAATCACCCGGCAGCTTCTCTCCCCCTTATTTTTCCTTTAAAGTGTAATTGTATTGTGTCTCACCTCCCCAAAAGGCTCCCGGCTCTCTCCAAAGAAAAAGAAAAAAGCCAACCCTTCGGGTGCCCCCTCTGCTTCCAGCCGCCTCTCCCACATTCTCAGACAGTTTTATTAAAATCTTCAGACAAAAGAAAAACAAAAATGGCAGCCTGGCTTATTTTTAAAACAGGACAGGGACGCCATATTCTGCAGATCTGCAAAAAAACGGAGAAATCCGGCACTGGCCGCTCCACCGGGCCGGCTGCAAAGTGCGCGAACCGCGCCGTTTGCAATCCGTTTATTTGCATTAAGCCCCATGAATCATTGTTTACCGGAGAATTGCAGCAGGTTTGAATAGCCCGGCTTAGGAAAACACACACGCACACACTCGGAGACTAGCCCCAGACACGCCGCGGGAGACGCTGCCTACCCCGCGCGCGCAGCCGCCGCCGCCGCGGCCGCCCCCGCCCCCGGGCCGGGCCCGAGGCACCGGCGACCCCCGGGCCCTCGCAGCGCGGTCGCCCCGCGCTGACAGCGCTCGCACCGGCCCGGCCCCCGCCCCGCAACTCGGCGCAACTTTCCCGCGGGCGGGCCCGCTCCCCGGCGCGCCCCGGGCCCGCACGGACCTGGCAGTGCTGGCAGAGCTCCGGGATGTGGCCGCAGCCCCGAGCCCGGCGGCCCGAGCAGGGCCGGGCTGGGGGCTCCCGGCTCCGGCAGCGGCGCGCGGCTAGGGCTCGGTGCGGAGCGGCGCGCAAACCTTCCGGGTCGCCTGCTGTTCACTTCTGGGTTCTGCAGGCGCCGCGGCGGCGGCGGAGGCCGGGTGTGCAGCCGCGCGGCCCCGGTGCGCTGGGCCCCGCGAGCGAGCCGCGTCCGGCCCCCCGCCTCTCGGTCGGCTGCGCAGCCCGCCCGGCCCCGGGGCTCTGGCGAGTGGGCAGCGCCCGGCGCTGGCGACGGCGAGGGGAGGGGGCCGGCGGGGCGGGGACGGGCCGCGCGCTGGGGGCCCCCGCTCGGCCCCGGGGCCTCGTCTCGCTCTCGCCGCCGCCGCCAAGCAAAGTTGCGCGGCGCCCCCTGCCCGCGCCGCGCCGCGCCGGAGGCTGAGCCACAAAGGAACTCCGCGCCCCCCTCCGCCCGCCCGAGCCGCGCGGGGAGGGCACCGGCGCCCGGCCCTAGGACAGCCCCTTCCCCAGCACGGGGGCTCCCGGGGCCCGGGCGGCCGCAGCCATTGTCCCGCCCAGACTCCGCTCCCGAGTGGCGGTGGCCTGGGGAGCCGGGACTGACGAGCTAGGCGGCCCCCGGGGGTGTGTGTTGGGGTGTCCCTCCCTGGGAAACCGCAGGCTGGTGCAGACCCCCAAGCCCCCCTCCCGCCCGCCCCTACACACACCTGGTGACAAACGGCCGTGCTCAAAATCCAGACTAAGATTAATGTTATTTATTTTTGAAGAACAAGGACATGGGGGCGGGGAGTGGTGCAGAAGTTTGCACAGGCCAGGACACCGCTTCCTAACCCTAGGCCTGAGCCTCAGTGGCGGGGCGGCCTGGGGCTGACAGCAGTTCTCCAGTCTATCAGAGCTGGCACCGGCTGTCCCCCAGCTCCAGACCTCAGAGCCATCTGCGTGACTCCTCCTCCCGCCTCACCCTCCCCAGCCAATCAGTCACCAAGTCCTCTTGATTCGGCCTCGGCGGGCTGTGTCAACTTCTAAACTTCACTTCTACCTGAAGAGGCAGACATCCCTGACTCCAAACTGGCTTAGATTAGTGTACACACTCTGCCATCCACCTGCAGGCCTCGAAGATCAAGGCTGCCTCTGCCCTCAGGAAGCACACCAGGGAAGAAGGATGGACACATGAGCCATCCTTCTTCTAGGAAGTAAAAATTTAGAGACACTGTCCTCCTGGAAATTCCAGTCTAGCAAACGATGTCACCACACTGGAAACTGGAGGGTGGGACCCACAGAGGTGGTTAGTTCTTTCTCAAGCACACGGTTCCTGGCATAGGGCAGAGGACAATACCAGGTGACACGAATTAGCTGGAATGATAGGGTACTGAGGACACAGAAAAGAATAGGGATCTGGGGTGAGCCTGGTGGGGGAGAGAGGAAGACCTTCTGGCTTCCAGAACAAGGGTGAAAAAAAGTTACTCGCCCGTGGTTGAGAAGGTCTATTGAGTAAACACACCAGCAAGCAACCAGAGTGACGAGACAAATCAGCCATGCAGGAGAGTGGCTGCTCAGGGGGTCGATAGGGGGTGACTTCCTTCCAAGGAGCATAGTATGAGAAAGGGAAGAGGAAATGTGATCTCAGAGTGAAGTCTGCCAACTGCCACCTCAGCCAAGTGAGGAAGGCCATACCGGCAGTCATGAATCACGCTGATAGTGTGCACATTTGACCTGTGATAAAAGCAACACCTTTCGGGGCTGGACGGGTGACTCAGCAATTAAAAGAACATACTGCTCTTGCAGAGGACCTGTGTTTGGGTTCTACCATCCGGGTCAAGTAGCTCAAAACCACCTGTAACTTCAGCTCCAGAGGATTTGACGCCCTCTTCTGGACTTCCTGAGAACCTGCACTCATGTGTGCATATAACCACCCCCCATGCTCATAAAGATAATTAAAAATAGTAAACATTATTTTTTTTTAAGTAACACATTAGGGGCTGGAATGATGGCTTCCTGGTTAAGAAGGCTTGCTGCTTTTTCATAGGACTAATGTTCAGATCCTAGCACCCATGTTCAGCAGCTCACCACTGCCTGTAACTCTAATTCCAGGGGATCAGACTGTCTCTCCTGACCTCCCTGGCACTCCTCCATGGGTGCCTGCACACACACACACACACACACACACACACACACACACACGAGGGGGGGTGTAAAAATAGTATGTTACCTCTATGGTGTTCCTTCCTATGAGGAAAAAAATCATCAGACACACTCACTAGTGGTGAAACAAAATACCTACCTTACTTCTCAGACAAACAAACAACAACAACAAATGGAAAGTCTGAAATTCAGTCTGGCAGAGCCTCAAGAGACATGACATCTAAATGTAATGTGAATGCCCTAGGTGAGGTACTGGGGCCAAAAAAATAGATATTAAAACAAAACTTAGGATCCCTAAATAGGCTATAGACTCTAGTTAGTTGTATCAATAAAAGTATCTACTGATACTTGTGGAAAATGTATCACATAGTCATAATAGGGAGACTGGTGAGCACATACAAAGGGGAGCTTCTACCATATACTCAAAGTTTTGGTAACTATAAAAATATCCCTCAAAAATAAAGTCTAACTGTGTGTGGTGTTGCAAGACTTTAATCCCAGTGTTCTGGAGTCAGAAATAGGAGGGATCTGTGAGTTTGAAGCCACCCTGATCTCTATAGCAAATTCCAGGCCAACAGAACTACAAAGTGAAACCCTGTCTCTAAATAAATAAATAGCCTTAAAAATAAGTCCTGGGTATACTAATTATGGCATTGTTGAAGGCTTCAACTCATCACTGCACTGAGCATTCTAAGAGTCTTCAAAAGTGACTATCATCATCACTGAGTCTTAGAATAACCCTAGAAAAATCACACAGCACTGGGGCCAAAGAACAAGGACACAGGACACTATAGACATTTACTGCAGGGCTGGGGCCTTTAAAGGAGATCTGCAGAGTAGAGGCAATGTGGTCTGGCTCATCTGTGCCCTGCCAGCTTCCTGTCTGACCATCTATAACGCTGTTTCAGTTGACATGAGCTGCCATTCCACCCTTACTATATCCCTCCACCTGGAACTCACTCACCTGTCTTTCCACAACACCCTCCCTCACTGCCTTCAACTCATCCTTCAGATTGCAGCTCAGACATTTAAAAGCTATGGAAGAGGAGAACTGGACAGGCAGTTCAGCCATTAAGAGGACAATGGGAGGCTCACAATTTCCTATAGTTCTAGTTCTGGAGGATCTGCTGCCCTCTCCTGGACTCTGTGGGCACCTGGACTCTCACATGTACAAACCCACATGCAGACACACACCTCGTACACAAAATTAAACAGAAAGTAAAATCCATCCAGGACCTTCCAGAATGCTGTTAGTGTGGCCTGAATGTACATGATGTGGCATGACATATGAAAACCAGGGATGAGGATTCTCAGCTCTTTGACACTGGCATTCACACTCCTCCCCCTAAGCCCAGGTATGCGGTCCCCCGTCCTTCGGCACACTGTTTACCCCTCCAACTCTGCTCATGCTCCTCCATCTGTTTGGGGTCTCAATCCTATTCTCTGTTTTGTCTGTCTGAGCCTGTGCTCAAACAGCATCTTCTCTGTGAAGTCTTAGTAGCTCTCCTGCATGGGAAGAAATGCTTCCCCTGGTTCTACAGGACTCCATGGGCAACTAGATACCCCACTAGCAAACTGCCTGTGGTACATCAGGATAAATGCTCACTGAACCAAAGAATGAAAAATGAGGCAGGCAGCAAACCTATGCACATCCTCTCCCATTCTGCATAACCCTGGCTAACCTGGAACTCTTTGTGTAGATCAGGCTGACCTCAAACTCACAGAAATCTGCCTGCCTCTGTCTCCTGAGTGCTGGAATTAAAAGCATGCACCCTCATACTGGGCCAGAGTAAATGGTTTGAAGAAGGAAACATGTCTTTCATTTTGAATAACACATTCATGAAGGTCCTGTTCAGGTGTCTCATTCAGGGACTGATGTTCTGCAGAGGCACCAGAGGACAAAGGACAAACCCTGGTCCACACTCAGATATGACACAGTACTAGCCAGAATGTGTTGCAGTAGCGAAGAGCTCCAAAACTCAGGTGTAGAACACAACAGTGTGCTGGTGGCTTGTACTACATCCCCACATGGATCCTCTGCGTTAGTCACCAAAACCTTAGAACGGCCAGTCACTGACACCTTTGAGCAGTACCCCCTGGCACTTAAGACTGTCTCAATGACCATGTGCATGGGTTTTCTACTGCTTTTGCCTGGTAGTGACTCATACCACTGCTCACCGTCCATTGGCCAAGACTAGTCACATGGCCTGGCTAACCACAATGGAGGCTGGGAGATAGAGTTCCCTGTGAGAAAGAGTTAGGTATTTGTGATGTGAGTGAACTCTCCCAAAGTCTGTTCCCAGACACAGGGTTTAGCAAAGAATACCTTTACTGATTATATGCAGGGTCCATGAGCACTACAGAGATCTGAGTTGCCTAGGGACAGGATAAGAAATCGTGGAGCACTTTGCAAAGGAAAAGAGGTTTCAAATGAAACCAGGAACAGAACAGTGATGCTATGAGAGAGAACAGCAAGGAGGAGCTTGTCACAGGGAAGAGGCTGTGGCCTGCCCAGGGAGGTGAGGGTCTAGGGTTTCAGTTTTAGAAACATTCAGCATCATGGCAACATAGCATTCAGGAAAGAGGTTGTCTATTATGGACCCCTGTTCTCCAAGTAAGGCATGGTGTTGCTGGCTGGAAATCACAGAGGCTGTGATCACACACATGTGGCCTTCACAGGATCATTCCTCTTAGCCTTCTCCAATAGAAGGAGTAAGGGAAAGTCACCAGAATGTGAAATAAAGGAGACCCACTCCCGCCTGACCCCTCCAGGGTCCTGCCTGAGCTGCATCTGGCAGGTGCCAGCTAGAGTTCATAAGAGGTGAGGATAACTAACTGGAGCCGGCACTCTAGTAAAGCATGGGCAAGAAGGGCTTTTCCACGATGTGGCTGTTTGAGGCTCACCTGTGGGCCCCTCACCCACATTCCTGTAAGAAAGCCTGATAAACTCACTGGTTTG